ACACAATTTTTAAACTTCATTCTTCAATTTTTTTTTTATTTCAACCAGAGCTCGCTTGCCAACCGGTTTTTGAAAAAAACCTCATTCAGTTTAAACTGTCTCTACAAGATGTATATAAATGTGGAYTGACCAAAGTGACCAATCAAGGAACCGTAAGGGTTTGGAGTWWTTYTTTAGTTTTACGAAAATTCTACACGGAMAACTTATTCATTTTCAGGGTACAGTCACGTACTATCATCAGATAGTCATAGAGAAAGACGGTGGCAAGAACTATGAGCACAAGTCTTTTGTAAATGTGAAGTGTTGGTTTTCCGGAAACAAAAATCACACAGTGGCCAAAAGAAATGTACTACCTGCCGGATTCCAAGAGCCAGAGTAAGTTAATTTTCGTATTGTACCTACAGTGTACAAATAAGTTTAGGGTTCGTCTGTACCTAATCAATAAAAATTGACAAATCCGAAAACACCCCAGCTAAGATTATACTTACAATCATACGATACGATTATGATTAATTTACGAAACATTTTCTAATGTTTGGACGGAATGTATATAGTGATAAATCGGTATTATATTATGTTCTTTATAATATTCTATACAAATATAATTRTTGTAAGTATCCAATTAAATATGTCGAAATTATAGACATATTTGGAGGTATATAGGCCACGGGGTAAATTTTTTGTCATCTAATAATCATAATACTACACATCACGAATCCCCGARGCATCGTTTATCCAAAATCTAATATTTACAACATTGCAGGTTATTCTAATGATGGAATTCTGAAYCTATACTWTCTTTAGCACTACCTGTTACTTGGAATGCTATTATGTTATAAAGCTAGGGCTGGGATTTTAAATCAATAACTGATGAACCAAAAATCATTTATAAAAGATTTGATAACCGTTTAAATAATCACATAAATCAACTATTAAAGAACTTGGCCATCACCCCACAACATACGCACATGACAAGCCTCAATGACACCTGAAACGTAGGTGGTGTCGTGATATATTCTATTAAATAAAATTAATTAACAAACTAATAGAAAGTTTCATCAATAAGTTGCTTCTTATTCTATTACTTTTATAAATAAAATAATTTTTCTTACAATACCTTGATAATTTTCTATTATGTGTATTATTTATTTGTTTATATAGATATTTCGTATATACATACATAGTATTATATTTATATATATTTATTCACCTTACCATAATTTGCTGTCGATACGATTAAAATTTACTATTCTAATGCAAATCGTAGGATTCCCTCTCAAATTATACCAACTACGAGTAAATAAGTTTTATTTCATTTAAATGATTGTTATATTAGAAAGAATTATTTTTTTTTAAATAACGAGTAGATCGTAAGTACTTAGTTTTTCCATTAGCACTCTTGAGGTGTTAACGTGTTGGGTACCTATATATGTGTGCTATCAAAGTATCAATACACATAATACACCTAATCTTTTATTAGTTGAATTATTATAAAATTATTATTGTGTTGAAATTTCTTAAATAAAATAWRATATAATTACCCCGAACAAATAAGAAACGGAGATCCATTGATCTATTATATTCATCTACGAAACGAATTTAAAAATAATAATATTATACAACAGAATTGTTTTTTTTTTTGCATGGTTTTTTTACGATTAAATTACCTAAGAGATGACCTAACCCAACCGATTCGATACAAAATCAAGAATCCATAATAGTTTACAGGTATAACTTATTAATACYTGTATAAATATAATATAGTCTTTCAAACCGTTTGCGGTGTGAGATGTGGACCAGTTTCGAAATAATAATTTTCAAAATAATATTTTATATTATCACAATGGGATGCAACTATCTATAGTTTCCACAATTACAATAAGGCAACACTATTTAAAAGATACACTTCGCTGATTTACCACACGATCGCACGTGCCGGYTGACGTGTGTAATTTTATTGTCTATATCTACTATTACATTAATAGGCATATTGTATAGAGTATATACATTGGATAGTCAATCGAGCATATCATTATATTATTGTTCCCGTAGCTTACCTATAATGTGGCATGGGTTAAGTGGCTAGGCGGGCAGGTGTTATTAGTTACATTGTGAAAACTAGTATTTTTATATAGACTGAATAATTATTGCAATCTCTTAATAATAACCTTTAAACGCATGGGTGATAAGTTTGAAGGAGTGGGTCAACAGATATATCGAACTTTTGATACCATCCAGAAGTAATAGGATGTAAATTTTGAAAAAAGATCATGAATGTGTGGTTTATATACTTTATACACAATTAATGCATATAAGTTATTTGATATAATTACGTTTTATTCTCCAACATGGAGGTTAAAACAAAATAATTAATATTTTTTTATAAAACACATACACTTAATTACGTTTAATTAACTTCTGGGAAAAATATGCATTAACGCTTAACGCATAATATATAAACTACAGTTTTAATTATAAACATTGTGAAGATAATGAATCACATATTGATGTACCTATCAGTATTAATATTGATTTTTAGCAGCTGATTTTGTTTGAAAATATGAAAATTCTAGAAGTTAAGAAGAGTTTAGAAACTCTCAGGCAAATAAGTCCAAAGAGCTTGTTTTTATGCTCACAGTACGTATGTGCCCRCCACTGATCACTACGGATCGTTAACAACAATATAATAATAATACATTTATATATTTTATTATTGTACGTATCGTGTCGGATATGCGGTAAAAATCAAAGTATATTATATGGGTAATACTGTAATTGGCCAATAGTTATAAATATTGTATAATCACTATAAATATAATATAAGATGCAATGTCGACCATACCAGTTTGATCTTTATCCTCCGGCGATATTAAATAGTAGTAGGTATTAAAGTTGTCTACAGTAGCTCGTTTTCGATTTCATCGAGTGAAATAATATTATGTATTATTGAATAAAATATGATGAAAGTATCTATATAAAACATAACCACASCAACAATTACTGCTCATCGATGTTTCCATGTAGTGGAGTTGCAAAAGGGAATTGACAATATTGTGTTATATTTTAAATTAAATGTGCCWAAATACTTAAAAAATATAATTAAAACTTTTATGAAATACTAGTATAAATTTAAGTAGGAAGTCGAAATTATTTTACCTTACTATGTCATATTAAACCAYTCTCCTCTACACAGTCTACACTTCATGAAAAGGTCAAAATTGTCCATRAGGTAGTGTAGTAAAACTTCATTTTCACCTAATTGGATGCATTTCATTAAATGAATGACACATCTACTTATAACGTCTCAAACAATAAATGAACGATTTATTACACAATATATTATGTTTGTGGGAATAAAATCGCACATGATTCTATACCTACTTATAATTGTCGGATCCTGTATTACTTTAATGTAATTATTAATTGTTATTTATAATATACCATTTACATACTAATAATCAGTAGTCAATACATAATAATATTATACATAACACATATAATGGGCAAGATTGGGTTTAAAATGGCTATTTTCACATTTTGTCAAACTGAGTTTAAAAAAAATCTTGTRAATAATATTCATACATGCATGGAATTAAGTTATTAGTTAATAGTAAAACCAGATGCAAAAGTTAAATTTGAAAATAAATTATTTACAATATATAATAATATGTATATATTTCAATTAAAATACAGTTAATAATTTATTAGAATTGCTGATTATTTTATCCCTCAGAGACTCTGAGTCAGAGTTAAGTAGTCCATTTTTTTTTCATGATATACCTATACTTATTACGTTGGTATTATATTTGTGCTATTATTTATTTTTATCTGAGCTACCATATAGTCTTTTATTTATTTAAATAATATGATTTAGTAAGCTTTAGTAGTAGTGCATAGAATATCGTGTACGAGTTGGTCCATTCAATATAAAGAAATCTAACTTTTAAAATGTACGAATTAAAAAAAAAAAAAAAACATTAAAAACCCAGGCCAGGTATATAATACATTATTTCTTTTTGCTATTATGCGATTAATTAGGTACTTGGCGCTTAATCATAATAACCGGCGATCGACGTTCTCCRCGACGAATTCTCCGGATGCCGCCCGTGTACTGCAGTGTACGAAATATTTAATGACCAAGATTTAACTGCATTACAGGGACTTGGAGATCACCACTTCGTTGACGGAAAACGCACCGATTCCCATGCTTAAGGTGGGTGTGCGACAGGGTGGTAGTATCGTTAACGGCGAACTCAACGTCAACCCAGGCACGCCRTTGCAAATGGAAATATACCTGGACAAGGACAGTGCCCCGATCTATGGGCTGCTGGTGAGCTACATGCAAGTGACGGACACCAAAGCGCAAGAGGAAACCATCATATTTAACGGGTGAGTTGTAATAGACGTGTAAAATACGAGTACCCACYGTACAAGGAATCAGGATATACGAATATAGGTACCGGCGTAGGTACAGCAAAATGTATTAGACCTCAGAAGTTTTAATTTGGAAATGAGAAGTAAAAACCGTGTTTTATAATAGTAGTTTTGGAAGACAAACGCATGTGTAAGCATCATAATGAATATTAACTGAATGTTGATGTTTCACTATTTACTCGTAATATTTTATGTTGCGCGCCAGTATATTATTAGAGTTCAAAATAAGTGTATAGAAAGAGCGGCTGCTCTATTCGATCGGTCAACATAATATATATATTATATTTACATGGTTTTTGTTTTACCCACAGCTGTTCGGTGGATCCATATTTGTTCGAAAACTTTAATACGGTGGACGGCGATTTTTTGACCGCTAAATTCAGAGCGTTCAAGTTCCCCGAGTCAACGTACGTGCAGTTCAAAGGCACTGTTAACGTCTGTTTAGACAAGTGCAGAGGGGTTAGTATACTTACTATTACACTCCGTTAATGTATATTGCGTATACATACTATTATAGTATAACTACAATTTTATGTACATAATTATATTATGTGATGCGTGTTGTTTTAATGAACACTGCAGCAGACGAATGATAACGATGACTATAATATAATATCGTGACTATTTTTTGTATTCTTATATAAAAATAATGATGTGCAGTTCTCAACTACACATTTGTTCAGACGTTATTAAGAAAGATTTATTTTTTCGTCACCTATAATAAAAAATACCTTTTTTGGTTTTATTTTTCAAACAAAATTTAATCAAATCATTCAACATAATATTGTAAGGCGGTAAATATTTTTGAAAAGTATATACGTACTTTATTATTCAAATTTAAAATGTATACAGATATTAATGATGATATCATAGTCAATAATAAAGTATACATCTRGCTATAGGTACACATAAATTTATGATTGATTTACATTAGGTAATAGACATTGATAAATTTACAAATTGATATTTGATCAATATCTTTCAATTTCTAAGAATAATTTATAAATATACTAGATAAAAAGTTTCGAATAAAATTTAAAAAAAACGTGAAAACATTTTTATAATATTCAAACTAGACTTAAAAAATTACCGTAAAAAAAATATTAATAACACATTTCACTAACTTCCTCATTTGTCCAACATAATATATCCTCATAGTGTTAAGACCAAAATCTAACTACTGCAGGCTAATGGGACCTATGATTCTGAAGCCTTGTTAACATAATAAAAAAAAATTCTCACTAAATATAATTTTTAATCCACAAATGACCTAAATTATTGGAAGAAAAATATTGAAAAATGTGATAATTACACTTCCGAAATTAAAATAAAATATTCGGACATTGTAAGTTTATCATTTATACTTGACGAATTAACAGTAAAAGAAATATATCTATTTTTTAGTTGTTATTTTTTTGGAATTTCCGAATATTAACCAATCTGACACTGCCCACCCAAGCATTGMCATTGCGTCAAATAAATCTAATAATGATACATATAGTAGGTACTAACTATACGGACATTAATTGAAAAAAATCTAATGTTCAAAATGGATAAAAATTGTAATCTACATTATTTGTTAATCTTCATCATGAACRCTAATGATACCACAGTTTGTTAAACAAATATCTCATTAAAAGCAAATCATGATTAACGAAGTGCAAGTAAACAGTAAAACGCGCTTGCGTCATTATAAATATGTATGCCTTAATAAGGYAGGTACACAACGAATGTGAAATAGTTTAAAAATTCGTATAAGATTTGATCTCATTAGTATTTTAAACTCTATTAGATGTCTACTCTAAGTCYCTAAATCATATAATTTAATATTGTCCTCTAATATTTTATGTCATTATTTTACAATCAAATAAAATGTGAAATATAATACCTATACACTTTTCTATTGTATTTTGACATATAATGTCSTAACGGATCTTATATTATTATTTGATAGGTTCCTACTGATACCATTTTGGAATTTTCTACCACTATACTAATTTTTAAGCTTACAACCTACCTGTATGATGAAACAGCCAATGTAATAAAACTCCATTTTTGTTTGGTATAATTCATTAGA